GGCCGCATTTCAACTCTGGGTGCGGGGCGGAGGGAAGCCGGAAGGCTTCGTGTCCCCCCTGTCCCTCGCGCCGTTTGGTGCCACCATGTCAGGAGCCCTCTGACAGCGGTTGCGACCTGAGGGCGCGGGGACAGGACCCCTGACCCGAGGCCAGGGATCAGCAGGCTCCTGGCATGGCGCCGGGCCGCTGTGGGCTTGGGTGAGGGGGAAGTGATAAGGTCTGAGGCAGCGTTACAGTTATTACTGTAATATTTATTACAACCCCTCCGTTTGAGCCTTTTGGCCTTGCTACGTGTTCTCCCGCCACCATCCCTTCATTTCAGTGTGTTAAACTCCTGTGTTTGCAGCGTTACGGCAACTGTTCCACCCTATTTACTGCTGTTTTGTGCTGTCATCTCTCTGCGTTTTCTGTGGTGGTTGTCTGTTTTTAGCCTTGTCCTCTGCCACGTGTGTGAATCTCTCCATTATTTTTGTCCCTCGCCCCCGTGGTGTTTGATTTTTGATGCATTTTGCCTTCCCAGTCACCCACGGGCTCGCCGTCCTGTGCCCATGTAGGTAGCTGGGTATCTATATACCAAGAATAATATAGTTCTATGCCTTGAGTTACATGGACTGTATATTATTTTAATGAAGGGACTTACACAGGGGAAATCAGAAGGGCTTAGCTGACTGGAAGTTGAAGGTCTGTGCGTAGTTGAAGGATTTCTGCAGAAGTATTAGTTGCAAAACACAAGAAATGCTTGGAGGAGATTAACTTTGAGCACCGAGACATGCAGTGTAATGGGATAAATGGAGGTGAAATGAAAGACGGGACAAATGTGATTAGTGGAAGGCAAAAAATAGAAATATCGATATAGAAAATGAAAATACTTAACAGCAATGTTGCTACAAAGGTATTGACACAAAGGGGGAAAAGAGTGAGTGTATGAAGAAAGTTACAGAGCTTTTGAAAAAATTGTCAGCCAAGAAGTCAGTCCATTACAATTATTTTTAAATTTTTTTTTACAACTAATAATAGCAAGAGGTTAATGGTGGCCTTTCAAAAAAAGATATGCAGAATTTAACTCCATCAGCTACGCTTTTGATTTGGAGAAACAAGAAAGGGCAAGGTCAGTGGTAGAAAGCAAACCTCCACAGGGGGAAAGACGGATTTTGTTAAGAAATAAGTTGTAGATTCCATGAGAGATTAAAGCATCATAACCAAAGTGAGGTTTTAGAAACTTCTCTAGTGAGGTTTAGTGAAGTTCTGTGGGATTTTAAAAGGGACAGAGAAGCTAGAGAAGGGAAACAAAGTTGGCAGGATCAAAGCTACAAGGAAAAACATGCTCTTTCCAGCAACAAGTTTTTGGTTTGTTGGTTTTGTTTTTGTGTTTTTTTTTTTTTTTCAAAAGAAAAGTAATATTTCTTTTTGCAGAACTAAAATATCATCTTAGTAATATTCTTACTGTTTTTAAAGTTCTCATCCAATATAGCTCTAAGATTGTAACACCTTAAAAATGCCAAAAGTATTAGCTAGAGGATCTCTGCTAGTTAGATACTGAGGCAACAAAATTGCTGGTTGAGATTAGAGAGATTAGAACCACTGGTTTTATAGCCAGCTTTTAGCTAAGTCTTAATAAACAAAAGAGGGGTAATTTATTATATCATAAATGACTAAATATGTTAACAAAGACAGCAACACAAGGTTCTTTTTGTTTCGAGTCCTCTAGGAACAATAGCACACATATATATTAGGATTGCAGATTTGCACTGTTTTTCTATAATCTACAATGTCATTGATTTAATGTGATTTATTTTATTGAAATATTGTATCAACTGGATTTAGGATTCAACTACCTATGTTTGAAATAATATGAAGAGATTAGTATGTTTAGATAAGAATTTCTTAGAGAACTTTAAACTATTATTTCTCCAGAGATGTAGAAAACAGAAATAAGAGATTTTGTTATATTCTTGATCCCTTACTCCATAAAGGTTTTATCACTTTAAAGTTGACCTGATGTGACCTTAACAGTTGTGGTTAATTCTCTAATACATAGTTGGTAACTGGGTAGAGAATAGGCTTATATTAGAGACAACAACCAATAGCGAGATACATAAGGAGCTAGGAAAATTTGTCTCAATTTATCTGGGGGAAAAAAAAAAAAAAGGTATTTGAAAGCATAGCATTGGTATAGTATAAGATTTAGCCAACATTATTTGTTAGCAGATTCTCATTTTCCATTTAATCATTTTTCAAAAGTGGACTCAAACATCATGACTGTAAAATCAAAATGTTTTTGCCATTTTGAAACAAAGCATGCATCAGATTAGGTGCAGAATTCAAACAGATGGATGTTTGTGATCATAATGAACTGTACCCAGGACCTATTCCTTGCGACCTCCATGATTAGAGTAGTACATCATCATTCTGTATTTTCCAAATGTTTCGATTTTTCATTGTTTTTTTGAGGGTTATAAGATCCCAGAATTAAGTGGCTCTAACAGAAACATGTAGATTCCAAATCAAGTGGTTCACTGCATTGCCATTGTTGTTCTTCCAGCAAAGGAGGAAGTAGATCACAGAACAAAAGAGCTGGATCAATATAGCTGGCAGGAGTAGTTCAGGACAGGAAGGTGTACTTAGCTGGTATGATGTTAGAATAGTTTATTATAGAAGACTGCTGAAGATGTTTACCTTTGATTAGACCAAAGAACACATGTTATTTAATTGTTACGTGTAGCCCTTCTTCATTCTGCGGGCACAAATTTTGTGATCTCCCTTTCCTCCCCCAATAAAAATATAAAAGCATGAGATTTATTTATTAAGCTATTATCTTTACACTTTCAGACACTTTTTTTGTTCATAATATCTTCTTATTGGCTTAAAGATTCATTATACAGAGTTTTCTCTGCTCATCGAAGTTGTGACATTTAGTAGATACCTAGAATACCATCAACAGCCAACGTTGTAAGAAGGGATAGGATTTCACTGTGTATCACATTACTTGTCAGACACAGAGGCACAATAGTGTTTTAGGACAATATTTTCTCCCAAAAAATCATTGCAAATATATCGGGCCAAAGAAACAATAGCTGATACCCTTGCGCAAGTTTTTGTTCTTGGGCCATGCTAAACAAATCAATAGCGTCATAAATATGGAAAATGCTTACCATCTTTAGACCAAGAATCATGTTAAGGGTTACATATTGTCTTTGGTATGTGGTAGAGCTAAATCAGTTAAATTTAATGTATGAGAGAGGCCTGTAGTAAAATATTACCTCTGTTGATTCCACCTCTAGAAGGAAAAGTCTTTTACAGGTCTTGTTGCTGCCTGCCCTGGGAAAGAGGGATGCTTCACTGAGGCAATATAACACAAAGTGTGTCATTCTTCCTTGTACACTAATTTATTTGGCCAGGACCGTCTGTACTGCTTAGATTACCCTGCTCCGGGTTAAGCGGTCACGGAGAGACTGTTTACCGCACCACACTTACACTCTCAGGTCTGAACGCTGG